GCCCCAACCCTAGCCTGTCCCCGCCATGGGCCCCATCCCCAGCCACATCCGTGCCCTGATGGCCCCGGGCCCAGCCCCATGCTGCTAGCCACACGCTACCGGCAGGCTCCCGCCGACACCCTCCCCCCGCCGCAGGCCCCGTCCCCGGGCCTGGCCACGTGCTGCTGGCGGCCCAGCCCCAGCCAGCTCCATCGCTGCTCTGGGCCCCGGCCCAATGCCAGCGCTGGGCTGGGGCCATCTGCAGCATCGGGACGGGACTGGGGCCATGGACCTGCACAGGCCCTGGCCCTTTCCCAGCGCTACAGGCGTCCCTGGCCACGTGCTGCTGGCGGGCCCCCCCCCGGCAGATGGCCCTGGCCCCAGCCCTCACCGCTGCTGCCGGGCCGGTCCATTGGCAGCGTGGGGATGGGGCCCGTGTGGGGCTGGGGCTGAGCACCTACACGGGCCCCACCTCATCCTGACACTGCCAATGGCCCCGGGCTGCCAGTGGGCCCTCACCGCCCATGGCCTGGACCCCAGCCCCAGGGTGCCAGTGGGCCCTGGCCCCAGCCCCGTGCTGCAAGGGCAAGGATCACACTAAACTGGTAGGATCTGCTTTTTAATTCAGTTTTAAATGAAACTTATGCATTTTAGAAACCTTATTTACTTTACTTACAACAATAGTTTTATTATATATAGAGAGAGACCTTATAACTCTAATATGCAGTGTGTCCTGCTATGTACTCCTCAGCCCTCATTTTGTTTTTGTGATATGCCAGCGCTCTGGCACCTTTCAAGGTAGGCATTGTGGTTTTTTCGACACTCGAGCCAAAAAACGTTGCCTACTCCTGAACTACATCAAGGTGTGGCAAGTGAGTAAGAAGAGGAGGGCATCCTAGAGCTGGATCTGGCTAAGAGTTGCTTGGCCACCAGGGGGTGTCTCAGTCTCCCTTGAAGCTCAAACCTGGTCACAGGAGTGGAATTCTAGTTGGGTGTCCTTTATGAAGCCAGGACTATGTGCCTGTGCTGCTCCCAGCCCTTAGCTTGAGGCTGTGACCATTCTGTGTCTCTGCATCCTGGGACTCAGCTTGTCTTCTTTTTCTGTGGTTCATGAAGGCCCGTACTGGACACTTGGATGCTGGGAAGGGACTGCTCAGCTATTACCTGTGCAGCTGCTGGATGGCCATGGAGTACACGTTTTGGGCATATGGAGGCATGGTGGAGGGCCCTAGGGGTGCTCCTGGATACTTAGTGCTACCTGCCCTGGATGGTCACTTTTGCTTGGCTGCTGCACATCATCTGTGAGGTTAAGGCTGAGACCATTCCAGAGGTCTGAGCATAGGAGGCCCGGAAGTTCATAAGCTAGTACTAGGCACCAAAGACGAAGTCCCTTGAACGTAACAACTGTGAGGATGTTCTTTTCAGGGATGCCCTGACTAGAGATGTGGGTTTTCTGGAAAACTTTCCAGTGTCCTAAATAGAGCGTGATCTGATTTATCATGTTTAGTTGACTTACATTTAGTAAAAAAAAACCTAAAAAAGTACCCCCATGTTAATTTTATGTCCCAATAGCCACAAGTATTTGAACTGAAATATTTGATTAGATGTGGCTTGTGAACACTGCAATGCCAGGGTGCCGCACAGGAGTGCGGGGGGCCCCTCCACATGCTTGGCGGCAAACCCAGACGTGGACTGGAAGTACTTCCAGTCCACTTCTGGATCTTCTGGGGAGCACGCTGGGGGCTCCCCTGTGCCTCCCCAGCTCAGTGATCGGCCCCAGGGAGACCCTGGGTACCCCCCCCCTTCCCCCAGCCCAGGAGGCACACCCAGGCCTAGGGTCAGTGAGGATCTAGTCAGGAAACTTCTGGAGGGACTGGAAGTATTTAAGTCAGCTGGTCCTGACGACCTCCACCCCAGGGTGCTGAGGGAATTGGCAGAGGTCATTGCGGGACCCCTGGCACGGCTTTACGAGCACTTGTGGTGCTCTGGTGTAGTGCCAGAGGCCTGGAAAAGAGCCAGTGTAGTTCCCATTTTGGAAAAAAGGGAAGGAGGACCCAGGAAACTATAGGCCAGTTAGTCTTGCCTTGATCCTGGGTAAGCTTTTTGAGAGAATTATCCTGGCACATGTCCACGAGGGGCCAGCAGGGGAGGTTATGCTTAGGAGCAACCAACATGGGTTCATTAGAGGCAGGTCCTGTCAGACCAACCTGGTGGCCTTCTATGACCAGGTCACTGAATCCTTAGACGCAGGGGTAGCAGTGAATGTAGTCTTTCTGGACTTCATGAAGGCCTTCGACACTGTCTCTCACCCCATTCTTGTTAAAAAAAACTAGGGGACTGTGGCGTTGACACTTACACAGTCAAATGGGTCGCTAACTGGCTGGGGATTCCTTGGACGCACGATATTGAGCTGACATACCCTGACATGGAACAATGGGCAATGCCTGCATTGCCCAGTGAAGTGAATCTGCAGTGCTGGGACGCATTCTGGCACAGCTGAACCTGCTCCAAGGATCATGTCTATTTATAGCCAGTGTTGGCAAAGGAAAGCTTTGCGGAGCAGAAAACATAGGCTGGTGTATATATGAGTGAGCTGCTGTCTTGGGTGTGAAGATGCGTCCCTGGGGCAAATTCTCTGGCATGAGAGGAGAGTGGAGAAGGGTGGGAGGAGGTGCTGAGACAGGATGAAGCTCTGTATAGTTGGTATATACGGCCATGACCCTGGTGGGCACTTGAGAGATTGCGGAGGGGTAACCCTGGCCCTGTTGTTGCTACCGTTGGGGTTTGGGAGGACAGCTCTTGTCTGGTGCAATGTTGAGGGGCTAGGCAAGGTAGCCTAGATGTTGGAGAGCTGCTGTTGGAGTTGAAGGATGGTTATCAGTTGCTGTGGTGGGGCCTGGTTGGAGGCTGGGGAAGGTAACCCTTGATTTGAAAAGGACTTGGTAGGGGTGGGAGTGAGAAGGGAGGGAACTTCTCTGCCTATGGGAAAAAAAGCCTTTGGTTTAGGGGGGAGGGTGCAAAATGTAGAGCAGCCTGAATGCTCTTTCTCTCTCTCTTTTTTTAATCTTGTTCATTGTGAGCCTGCTGGGTATATCCCTCAACATTTCTGTTCCCTCAGCCTTGTTGGTCGCATCAGTGTTCTGCCTTGCCTGGAATATTCATTTTTGACAGGAGCCAAGGACAGACAAATAGTCATTTTCAAAAAATTTTTAAGGGCCCTGTGGGCCGAATAGAACGGCCTCGTGGGCCAGATCTGGCCTGCAGGCTGTATTTTGACCACCCCTGCTCTACACTCTCCTGCTGTTTTGAAGACCCAGCTGCTTGGAGGGGTCAAGTGAGTTATGGTGCTACCCTGGAAAGAAGCAGGTTATTTTTCAACCCAAGAGCCTGGCTGGATGAGTACCTTCAGTGGAAGTTTGAATACCTATCCTCTGAGTAGGAAACAATAAAGCACTCTATTAATGGGTGTCTGAAGCAGGGCAGCCCTATGTTGAAGTTCTAGGCTGAGTATGCTGCTCTAGTACCTAATAACAGCTTGCAGAAGACCCTGCACAGTCTCTCTTCTTAAAGGTGTGAAACTTTGCCACTCTCTGACAGCTGGCTGAACTCATGTGACCCACCTTCACCTGCTCAAGCTGATACCCTCATTCACTGCATGCTAGCTATTATTAGTGAAGCTCCAGGAATTCACTACTCAGATGCCATCAGACTTGAACTATAGCCCACAAATTGTATCCAGGATACTTAAACAAGTAGTACCAAGGGAAAGATTGCCAAATGGCCTGTATTCCATTTTGCCCTGTTAAAAAAAAAAAAAAATCATATTATCTTGTCTCCTCACTTGTTACATGATCCCTATCATCAGAGAAATAAGATGGATAGGAAGAGGGTGAATGGTTCTGTGTGAACACTCTGTACCAGTCTGCTGTGTGTTTCAACCACGTTCTACTGGTCTGAAAATATTGAACCTCCTGATTGGCAGTAGGGGTCAGGAGGGTTGGCAATACTGTTGCTTTTTGATTGATTGCATTTGCAAATAAAAATACTTCTGTCTCATGGACATAATTAGCTAATCAAAGTATGTAAGAGCTGAATGGCAAAGGTACAAATCCCTTTGGTGACTAGCCTAAGCACAAAATCATAGACTCATATAACAGGTCACAGTAGGATGTGTTTACACTCCTCTCCCATTATGTCAGTAGATGCAGCTGTACCCCTCTTTCCTATGCCTGAGTAACCTTTGGGATGCCTCTGTAGCACCCTTTTTAGGCTAAATATGGCTCTTCCCCTTTGCATGCCTTTGAATTTTCTTTCCATCTCTCACTAATCTGTCAACATGGACCTGCTGGTGACCATGTGTAAATCCATCCATGTCCTTGGCCAGGGCTGCTGGCACAGTGTTGGTTTATTGAACATGGGGTAGAGGGTGCAGAGGTATTGTCAGAATATCAGTGTACTTCTGTTCACCTGCTGGATTTGAGGGAATGAAGAAATAGAGATACCTTTGCCATTTTAGTGGTGGTGACATCTAAACTGTATCTTGATGGCTGTACATTTGCTTTGCAGTCCCAATCAGGAATGACTCCTTGTGTCTTCCTCTTCCTCCTCCATCTGCTTCTGGCCAGGGGAGGGAGGGCTCTTCTGGAAGGTACAAGGGTAACAGTGTTTCACAATGAAGCGCTTATAATATTCCTGTTTCATTCAGAGTTGTTGTGGTCTGGTTTGAAGCACCTCGCTGATAAATGACATATGTCCTTTCACATTTTGAAGTGTTTAAAAGGCACTTGAAGCAGTACAAATGTCTGTCCATGCCATCAGCAATTTATGGGAATTCTGGGTGGTTTTTATTTACAGCATAGGAGAATGGTGGTTGTCAGGGTTCTTCTCAGTTTGTCTCCTTTGTCAGATCATCTCTGAGCATAGGTGGAAACCAGAACCTTCATGTTTCAAGACTGTTAGACTGTGGATTGAACTCTCATTTTGAAGAAGAAAGCCTAATTATTTCTATATTCCTCTGACAGACCAAAGAGAACGCTGTACAGTAAAAAGTATGGAGTGGACCTCATCAGGTACACACATGCAGCCAACACTGTGGTGTACAGCTCCAACAAAATAGATGGTAAGTGACTAACTCTAGTTAAGTATTTTTAATTTATCTGAAGTCAGGTGTCACATTTAGATAAACAGTGATGAAGGAGCTAGGGAAAGCTTTTACACCAGCCTTCAGATAATAAATAGACATCTCCATAGTAATAATAAAATGTTTATTTTAAAGCATTGCCCAAAGGCATCCCTTAACACATAATGACCATTTGTTTCTAGTATTTCCTTTACTTTCAATAACCAAGAACATTAATACGATCTATAGTGGAAGCGAGATTTGAGCTATTTTGTTCACTGGCTAAGTGAATAGACAAATGTTAAGAAGCTTTTGTGCCCTAAGTTTCTCTGTCTGTTTAATGAACATATTTATTACTCATTGGGGTGCTCATATTTTTAGTAGTTAGGATTTTAAAATGACACTGTGAGGGTTTTGTCCCTGTACAACTCCATAGAAAATTGTGCTAAGGATGTGTTTATGAAGTTTGGTCTTTCTACCAGCCCTTCTTTTTTGTAATAAGCTTTATTACCAAATCTGATTTATCAAATAACAAATTTAAAGGTACACCCAATCCCCAGGCTGGGGGTATGGGTCAGGGTGTGTGTAAGACGGATATTTATCTTCCCTCAGGTGTGCTCCTTTAACCTAAGTGAATGTCCACAGGGGTCTTGCGTTCTTTTTCTTCTGTTCTTTCCAGTCTCATGGCTCCTTTATATGGGGATGGGGAAGTGGGGGGGGGGCGCAGATCGAGGCCCCTGCAGTGAGGGAAGAAGTGGGGCAGGGCCTGGGGCAGGCACAGCACAGGCAGGGTGGGGCGTGGAATGGCGCTGCAAGCGGCTTGTTCGAGGTTGGGGAGCGGGTGGTTCCTGCTGTTGCGCACATCCCGGGAGGGAATGGTGGGGATGTGACCCCTGGATCTGCGTGCAGGGTGAAGGTAGGCTGCTGCTGCAGGCTGGAACTGGGTCACAGGCAAAAAAAGCCTATTTCTGATACTGTCAGTTTTCCCTATATTGGTGCCGATTCTGTATGAGACTGATGTATCAGGGCATCTCTACTTTATATTTCTTAGTTGATAACAAGCTTTTTTGTTTGTCCATTTCTAAATGTGACCTTCTTAAATATTCATGCCTGTATGTAATACAAGGCTGTCTTCCACCCATCTCTACTTGAGATTTCAGATTTGTTCTAAATTTGTTCTTAACTGTTAGCTCATGACTTGTATTATAGAATCATAAAAAATTAGGGTTGGAAGGGACCTCAAGAGGTCATCTAGTCTAACCCCCTACTCAAAGCAAGACCATCCCCAGCAAGATCATCTTAGCCAAGGCTTTGTCTAGCCAGGTCTTAAAAGCTTCCAAGGATAGAGATTCCACAACCTCTCTCGGCAACCTGTTCCAGTGTTTTTCCTACCCTCCTGGTGAGAAAATTATTTTTAATACTTAAGCTAAACTTCCTTTGCTGCAACTTGGGATGGCTTCTCCATGTTCTGTCATCTGCCACCACTGAGAACAGTCTAGCTCCATCCTCTTTCAAACCCCCTCCCCTTCAGGTAGTTGAAGGCTGATGTTAAATCCCCTCTCAGTCTCTTCTAGACTAAGTAAGCCCAGTTCCCTCAGCCTCTCCTCATAAGTCATGTGCCCCAGGCCCTTACCATTTTGGTGGCCCTCCACTGGACTCTTTCCAATTTGTCCACATCATTTCTGTAGTGGCGGACCCAAAACTGAACATAGTACTCCAGATGTGGCCTCACCAAGTGCTGAGTAGAGGGGAATAATCACTTTCCTTGCCCTGCTTACAGCACTCCTACCAATGCAGTCCAGTATTCTGTTAGCCTTCTTGGCAACAAGGACACTGCTGTTGGTTTATGTTCAGCTTATTGTCCACTGTAACCTCCAGGTCCTTTTCTACAGAGTTGCTGTCCAGCCAGTCGGCCCCCAGCCTGTACTGGTGCCTGGGATTGTTCCATCCTAAGTGCAGGACTTTGCACTTGTCCTTGTTGAACCTCATGAGATTCCTTTTGGCCCAATCCTCCAAGGGTAGGTCACACTGAATCCTAGCCCTACCCTCCAGCGTATCTACTACTGCTCCCAGCTTGGTGTCATCTGCAAACTTTGCTGAGGGTGCACTCTATGCCATCTGCCAGGTCATTGATGAAGACATTGAACAAAACCAGCCTCAGGACCAACTCTGGGGCACTCCACTTGATACAGACTGCCAACTGGACATGGAGCCATTCATTACTACTCTCTGAGCCCGATGCTCCAGCCAGTTTTGTATCCACCTTACAGTCCATTCATCCAGCCCACTTCCTTATCTTGCTGCAAGAATGTTTCATAGATTTTTAGGGTCAGAAGGGACTGTAGATCATTGAGCTTGACCCCCTGCCATGGGCAGGAAAGAGCGCTGGGATCAGATGACTGCAGCCAGGTGCTTTTCCAGTCTCCTTTTAAAGACCTCTAGGGTAGGGGAGAGTACCACCTCCCTTGGAAGCCCACTCCAGATTCTGGTAACCCTTACTGAAGGGGTCGGCAACCTGTAGCACGCGTGCTGAGCATGGCACATGAGGCCATTTTGTTCAGCACACCACCACCAGCCCAGGCTCTAGGCACCTGCTGCCAGCCATGGAACCTGGGCTGCTCCCAGCAGGTGACTGGGAGGCTGCAAGCCGTGCTGCAAACAGCCCGGGCTCAGTGGCTGGCAACAGCTACCCAGAGCCTGGGCTGGCTGCAGCCAGGAGGCTGCAAACAGCTGCTCCAGGCTCCTGAATCAGCCCCGTACTGGCGGGTGCATGCGTGCCTTGGAGCCGGACGGTGGGGGAAGGACCTGAGGCAGCGTAACCCCGGCCTCTCTCCCACTGCTGGCACAGAGCTGATGACTGGGTTCCGGAGCCCAGCACAGCTGTTTGTAGCCAGCCTGGTCTCTGGACAGCTGTAGCGGGCAGGCTGCAAACAGCTGTGCTAAGCTCCACAGCTCCAGCATCAGATCCGTGCTGGCGGTGACTCCTCGCGCACCTTAGAGCAGACAGCAGGGATAGGGTCTGAGGCAGCACAACCCTCCTGCTGTCTGCTCTGAGGTGCATGAGGAATCACTGCGAGCATGGAGCTGATGCCGGGGCTGTGGAGCTTGGCGCAGCTGTTTGCAGCCTGCCTGGCGCAGCTGTTTGCAGCCCTGGCGCAGCTGTTTGCAGCCTGCCTGGCGCAGCTGTCCAGAGCCCAGGCTGGCTACAAACAGCTGTGCTGGACTCCAGAGCCCAGTCATTAGCTCTGTGCCAGCAGCGGGGGAGAGGCCAGGGTTGAGCTGCCTCAGGTCCTTCCCCCACCATCCACTCCAAGACATTCGTGCACCTGCTGGTATGGAGCTGATGCAGGAGCCTGTATTAGCTGTTTGCAGCCTTCCAGCTGCAGCCAGCCCAGGCTGCACACCTGGTTCTGCACACCATGGAGCCTGGGCTGCTTGCAGCTGAGCCCGCCTGACTCCCACCCGCTCCAAGCCCAGCCCCACCCCCACCGGGATGAGTCTGGCCTGCCCCTTGTCAGGAGTGCCTCACCTTTGCGGGCTTAGCTATGTAGGGTGGGAGGTTGGGCTGATGGGCAGGCTCTGACTGGGGCTTCAGCTGGCCACGCTGTAGCTTGGGGGCTGGCTTCCTAGGGCAGCACAGGGGCTCCAGCGGGCCCAGGGCATTTTTGAGTTGGACTTTGTCTGGTGGCCCAGCCGCCCGGCTCCGTGCGCCTGCACACCTGGTTCTGTGTGTTTGTCTGCTTCTGTCTGGTTCTGTGCATCTGTGTATGCACACATGTCTGGTTTTGGATGCATGTGTGCATGTGTCTGTTCTGGGTGTGTTCTGGTTGTCTGTGTTTGTGCACATGTGGTTCTGTGTGTGTGTCTGGTTCTCTCTCTGCTCTCCTTTTCCTTTCTCTCTCTTCTTTCTCTTTCTCTCTTTCCCCTCTCCCTCTCTCTCATTGCAGTATGCTTAATAAAACAGGAATACACAACAACAAAGACAACATTTATAATTATTAAATATACTGATATGCAGTGTGTTCTGCCATGTACTGTGCCCCTTCTGCCCCTCATTTTATTTTTCTGGGTATGCCTTCCAAGGTAGACATTGTGTTTTTTTTGGCACTTCGGCTAAAAATGTTGCCTACCCCTGCCTTCCTGAGAGGAAGTTCTTCCTGATGTCCAATCTAAATCCGCTCTCTGTCAGTTTGTGTCTGTTGTTTCTAGTCACCCCAAGGGGTGCCCTCATAAACAAAGTATCTCCTATTCCTTGCTGCCACCCCCTGATAAATTTGTAGATGACCACAGGATCACCTTTCACTGTTCTCTTGCGGAGGCAGAAGAGATCCAGGTCCCTCAGTCTCTCCTTGTAGGACCTTACTTGCAGGTCCTTAACCATATGAGTAGCCCTCCTCTGGACCCTTTCAAGGTTATCCACATCCTTCTTGAAGTGCAGCAACCAAAACTGGATGTAGTATTCCAGCTGCAGCCGTACCAATGCCACATAAAGGGGAAGTATCACCTCATTATACCTGTTCGTGATGCATCTTCTAATGTTGTGGGAGACTGTATCAAAAGCCTTGCTGAAGTCAAGGTATACTACATCCACTGGTGTCCGCACATCCGTAGAGTCAGTATCTCATCATAGAAGGCAATCAGGTTGGTTAGGCATGACTTGCCCTTCGTGAATCCATGCTGACTGTTCCTAATGACCTTCTTCTCCTCCAAGTGCATAGAAATGGATTCCTTGAAGTTCTGCTCCGTGATTTTTCTAGGGACTGAAGTGAGGCTGACTGGTCTGTAATTCCCTGGATCCTCCTTCTTCCTTTCTTAAATATGGGCACTATGTTTGCTTTTTTCCGATCATCCAGGACCTCTCCTGATTACCACAAGTTTTAAAGGTGATGATCAGTGGCTCTGCAATCACATCAGCCAACTCCGTCAGCACCCTTGCGTGCATCCCATCTGGCCCCATGGACTTTTTTTATATGTCCAGCTTTTCTAAAGTCCCTAGCCTG